TTCTCCCCCGAAGGTTCTCTTTAGAAGTTACGAGAAATCCTGTGCAACAAGCGGATCTTTGCTCGAATAAGCTCGAATGAATTTTTGTTAAGACTCCAAGCTCATGGGACTGACAGGGTATTTTAAAGCTTGCCGGTCCGAGGGTCAGTTTAATGTTGTAATTTCCCTGAGGACCCTCGGACGGATGAAAAAATATTCGTACCGCGACAAAAAGAGTTACGGTTGAATAAACAGATTTACAAAATCGTAGACCAGTAATATTAAAAAAGACAGATACTTCAAAGGTATTTTTAACACAAGAAACGCATAGAATAGTACGAAAAGAACACTCTAATTAGGTTAACAGCTCCTGTAAACCAAATTATATACAAATTTATTTTTCCAATGAAGAAATTCATTTACACCGACCCAAAAATGAAGTCAACATTAAAGACAGAATTCAGTTATATCTATCACAATGCTGTACAAACACAAAATATCTAAAATTGTGTACTAAATTAATCCAAGAATCTAGATCTTATTGTAACAATAATACAGAAACATAACGTGGCTAATAAATTTCCAGTTCTTTGTCCACCAGTTAACAGCTAAACTGTTTACCTTCTTACAGTTCCACACTGATGACTAACCTCTTGTGCTCCATAGATGCCTCTCAGTCGTCGCATAATTTATACAGCAAAATTACAAAGTATAATATTTAATGTTAAGTTTCGTATGATGCATTAATATGTGAAATATTAAAATGAAATAGCCTCTTTATAATTTATGTACGTTTTCTCATTAAGTTAGTTTCGAATGATAACTATATTTCATCAGAAAGTGTGTTAGGTATTTTTGGTAGAAAACTCTCGGAGTGCAAAAGGTTAAGTTCTACTGCTACAATATAATGCAGGGTAATAATTCAATTCCAACATAATCAGTTATAAAATCGCCCAAGGAGTCTGAAGATTGGATCGTAAGACCGTTCATGAACAAATTCTCCTACAGTTCTTCCGCTTATTACTGACCTTGTGGTATCAAACGTAACCCCGCAGTAAATGCAATTTCACCTAAAAGAAATCACGAGTAAAGCCTGTTCGCGATTGTCTAGACAAAATAAAACCATTACTGTGTTCTCGTTAATGCGCACAGGCAATAAAGCCCATCAAGGTGAAGGAGGAATGCAGTAGTCGCCGCAGGAACGTTTAACGTCGCTCATAATTGCTTCACAGATGAAATAAATTTTCGCGTGCACACGCGAAGAACGGAAATGCTAATGACCCGATGCAACGTCTCTATACGGAGAATCGGCACGCGCTTCGGGCGTTTACCAGACTTCTCGAAACGTTATGCAGATGAAATGAATAAAATAAAAAGGGGGAAAGGTGGAAAACCACGACGCGTCAACACGTTCACGGCTTATTCAACCGCGCGTAAAGTCGCCGAGCGTTCGATAGATCGCCGGCTACCGAAGAATACGTTCCCAGCTCGTAGTAGTAGCTGATAGGAAAGTCAATAAAGACCCTGTCAATCGCAAAGTTTATCGACCTGTCGCGGGCAACGTGCCGACAACTCCGTTGAAAAAGTATCATCGCTTCTGGAAAAATATCCGTGAAATTCTTACATAAAACCTATCGACCGATTACCCCTACTCCATCAATCTGTTATTCGAATAATCGAGATTTCTCGAAGGACAAATTAATTGGAACATCCCTTGCATTAAGATTTTTCGTACGCGAATTTCAAAATTAACGAAGCAGAACTGTACCTACGATTACTTTTTAATGGATTTAAAAAATATTTCATATTTACAATAACTATAGATTCAACTGCTAGAATTCGTAAACCTTTCTTCCATAGATTTAGACGCTAATTCACTAATACACGAATAACTGAGTTCTAGAAAACACTGTAGCCAAGATTGGACAATTTGTTTGTTTATTATATCATACGATCTTATCACAATTTTTTCCTTCGAAAGTGATCATCGATAATATTGACAACGATAAAAGACATCATTCTAACGTAACAATATACCCAACGCAAGGTTACTTTCCCCTTTCTCCAGGAACATTTCAAGTCTGCTACTTATCTGTCGGAGTAATGCAAACACTTGAGGAAACGGATTTTTAGATTAACATTAGACCAGTAACATCTTCAACTGTGAAACGTTCGAACATCGTATCTCGCAGATCGCGGCGTCTCGAAGGCGCCGACACAACAATTAGATCACGGCGTTAGACCTAGATCTCCGGCTGAGTGCGTCGCTTAACGCGACACCATAAAACGTGAACCGCCGATTCGCCGACTGACCCTCTTTATTGGTGTGTCGCAGAATATTTCGCGCGCTGGAACACTGTGCTCGGCGGAGTCCCGTCTCTCTTATTTTTTTTCAACGCGCACGTACGGAGTCTTCGGAATTATTATATCCTCCCGAGCTGGGCCATTGTTCGCGGTGTCAGGCGCGCGATAGCGAACGAGTGCTGGCTTCGATAGGGAAGAAGAAGTGGGACAGCCGACGATAATTCAGCGATTTCGCGGTATCGTTTCCAGCGAATCCGTGGGCGGAGCCCAGGCGGTCGCGTGCTCGTCAAGTAGCCAGTGTCCCGTGTCCTATTATAGGCCCGCGATTACATCGTTTCCGATGCTTCATTAATCGCGAAGCGCCTCGTTCCTTTGTTACGTTACGCAACCGATTTGGAGAAACGTGGCCGTCAAATTTCTGTCGAACTGAAACGGGACATTAACCCCTTTAATACTACTCGATTCGTTCGCAATCGAGCTCGGAGTTGAACTCCGCATGATATCATAGAACAAAATACACAAAATGGAAAAGACATAATATTAAATCATTTGATTGAATCGCGTTATTATTATTGCGCGCTCATCTTGCTCAATGTCGCCGCCTTAGGTAGCATTGTTTGTAATATACAAATGTTTTCAAATAATCGCTGTTTAATTTAATGAACTATAGTAATTCGGTTTGGTTGAGGTCACCGGTAACCCCCATGACACCCAACGTGTTAATACTAA